CTACTCACATCGGATGCCGTCCTCATCCAATACAACGAGACCCTCCCGTTGGCCGTAACGTGCAATGCATCACCGTTCGGGATCGGGGCGATCCTCAGCCACACACTTCCAAACGGAAACGAAGCACCCATCGCCTTTTACTCGAGAACCCTCTCGAAGCCAGAGAGGAACTATAGCCAACTCGACAAGGAAGCCCTGGCAATCATCGCTGCCGTCAAAAGGTTCCACGAGTACCTCTACGGCCGAACATTCACCATCATCACAGACCACAAACCGCTGTTGGGCATCCTGGCAGGAAACAAGGCCACCCCGAACATTCTATCCCCAAGAATGACAAGGTGGTCTGAATTCCTCGCCGCCTACAGCTACCGGCTGACCCATCGACCCGGCAAAACGATCACACATGCAGACGCTTTGAGCCGCACACCGCTACCCGACCTGGACACCAACCCAGCACCCACAACATCCACCCTGAGCATCGAGGCCATACCCAACCTCCCCCTAACTGCGTCAGACATTGCCCGCGAAACAAATAAATACAAACGTCTGGCGCGGGTATTGCAATGGGCGGAGAAGGGCTGGCCGGAAAAAGACGTCAACGAGACATCCAGGACCTTTAAAAACAAGCAAACGGAACTCTCCACACAGAAAGGTTGTATACTTTGGGGGGACAGGGTGGTAATCCCAGAAAAATTACAAAAAAGGTTCTTGGACTTGTTACACGAGGGGCATCCGGGCATTGTCAGGTCAAAAGCCCTGGCCAGAAGCTACGCTTGGTGGCCAGGGATAGACAAACAAATTGAAGCCTGGGTGGCTAGCTGCAAGCAATGCCAGGAATCCAGGCCTAGCACACCCGCCGCCCCAATCCTGGAATGGGAAACCCCCAGGGGGCCATGGTCCAGGATACACATAGATTTCGCTGGACCCACCAAAGGACATATATTCCTCATAATGGTAGACGCTTACTCCAATTGGCTGGAGGTAAGTGACATGAAAACCACCACCACCGAGGTCGTCATCCGAGAACTCAACAGACTATTCTCGACCCACGGCCTCCCGGACGTGATAGTGTCAGATAACGGACCACAGTTCACCTCACTAGAATTCGAGAAAATCCTAGCGGAACGAGGAATACGGCACGCCCTGACAGCGCCGGCTCATCCGGCGGCGAACGGTAGGGTGGAACGGATGGTCCAATTCACAAAGAAAACAATTCAAAAAATCGAGACTGGGGACATGCAGGAAAAAATAAATAAACTACTTTTTATCCAACACATAACACCAAATACAACGACCAACAAAAGCCCCGCAGAACTCCTAATGGGGAGAAAACGAAGGTCCCCCCTGGATAGGCTGCACCCCACATACAACCCCGAAAAACCCACCGACTCATCAAGCAGGTACCGAACATTTTCACCAGGAGACGCGGTATACGCAAAAAACCTTAGAGGGGACCCTCTCTGGATACCGGCAACCATAACCCAGGCAACGGGTCCCCGCTCATACCGGCTACAAACAACCTACGGACAAGCATGGAAACGACACATCGATCAAATAAGATCGAGAACAACCACAGGAAACACAACCGACACGCAAACAAACACAGACATACACCCAGAGAGAGAAGGGAACCCCCCCAGCACAAACCAAGAGGGGAGGGAAAACCCAGGGAACCAACCCCAACCAGAAAGAAACCAGGAATACTTACCAACCGAGACAGAAATGGACAGCCAGCTCAAAGCCTCACCAGGGAGAAGCAGCCAGGCCAGCTCAACCAGCCCAGAAAGATTGGGCGGGAGCAGCAACACCAACAGCTCAACCAGCCCGGGTAGACCGGGAGGGAATTGCAACGAAAGGCCCGGCTCACCCTTCCAGGCGGTTCCATCGACAAGGCAGAGAGCGACACAGAACCTGACCGAACCGGCCGAAGGCCAATCACCAACTAACCTGCGCAGGTCAAGTAGGCAAGTATGGAGCCCCGCCTACTTACGGGACTACGTTACGTAGGACCATACCAAGAGGGGAGGGGTGTTCTGTACGATCCATTAACATACTTGTAACACCGCACTGTGATTGGTCAAAGCGCACGGCGACCTGATTGGCCGAGCAAGCTGCACGGATTGGCCCGCCGCAAATCCCCGCGATTGGTGGAAACTAATTGCGGGCGATTCAAAGCGGTGCCATTGGCCATGGCTGCCGCGGCCAGAGAATAAAAGCCACCGCGAATCTCCTAGAGCCGAGCCGATCTCGGGACTTAATAAAGAGTTGAACTAAGTCACTAGCTCCCGAGTCTTCCTTCCCTGCGACGGACACAACAGTTACCATCTATAACTTTACCCAGAAGAACATTATCAACACAAACCAAACTAGAACCTCAAAATAGTATGATGGTCTCTGCAAAAATAAAATTGAGCAATTGGGGGAGAAGGGCCTTAGTAAGAGAAGTGACCAAACCCGATGGTCACTCTGACTGAGCTCCAGAGATCCTGTGTGGAGATGAGACAGAGTTCCAGAAGGACAACCATCACTGCAGCCCTCCATCGATCTGGGCTTTTATGGCAGAGTGGCTAGACAGAAGCCTCTCTCTCCTCAGTGCAAAACAGTGCAAAATTTGGAAAGTAATTCTAAAATTATTCAATAATTTTATGTCACTCCACATCCACGGGGGATCAAACTGTTTTACAGAATAAAGAGAAACTTCTGGTACAGTAATCATTTCTCTGTCCAAATCCTATTTCATCTGTCAATACTGTCATTGAGTGATGTGGTCATGTGATGTTCATCTTAGCAACCATTTCTCTTAGGGATGGAAATTCTGGCCCCAGTGAAGGTTGTTGAACTATAGTTTCAAGGTCAGTTGTGTGTGCATTCTGATCTAACTGAATTCTCTAGAAGCTTGCCGTGATAAAGGTGTAGTTATGTATTCAGCTAAAGGATAATTTGTATTTATTATTTTCTGTTAGAAAGAAATATATTAATTCTAGAGTTGAATTGGTTTACTTTTTAAAGTAGATGTAGAGGTTGTTATGGTAGAGTTTGCATTGGATTTTTTGCATGTGAGATGTTGCGATATCATTTGGTCCATTGGTAGGGTATCACAAACAGCACATTACTCATAACGGACAGGCTTTTTCCTATTTGCAGGAGAGTTAGGTGGTGGAAAGGTAACATGTTCTTGGTAACCAACAACACTGCATCTGCAGGCTCCAGGCATCTGTTGCCTTATTGTCTTGGTCCAATGTTCTGTGTTTTTAGGTTCATATCATTGTTCCTCATACTTCAACAAAATATTAATCCTGTCCACCTTCCAGAATCTGATCACTTTTACTATCCCTGCCAGTCAGTTTTCACAATTCCTTTGGCAATTGCCTAATCTGATTTTCTCTGCTTCTGGAAATAGCATGCACATTCCTCTAGCAGTACCGCCCTGTACTGAAGAAGAAAAAAATGGAGACCTTCCCTGCCCCAGAAAAAGCTCCCCTGCAATCGCCTCATAGAAGCCTCTTCACCAGCTCACAGCCCAGCATAAGGGCAACCCGTACAAGAGAATTGCAACTTCACTTAACAACTGTGGCAAGAAAAGTAAAATGGGGCAAAATTAACATAACAACTGTCTTGCTTAGCAACAGAATTTTATTTGGCATTTCAAAGGGAACTGGTGAAAAAAGCTATGACATCAAATCTAACTATCCAGAAAATGTTGGGAATTGTAACAAAGACCCACTCCGTTTCTTCTGATCTCGCTTCAGCTTCTGCACAGCAACCCATGAATACTAAATCTATGGACCTCAGCAATTCAGTCCCCTAACACTGAGCCCATTACTCACATCAGTATAGCAGGTAAAGGCCCAGACCTTCTAAAATTGTAATTAGAGAGAGAAGCCTGTTTTAAGACTTGATGGACCATGTGATTTGAGACTCTCTTTAGAATAAGAATGAACATTGGGTTGTAAGCTAAAGCAAACAAAGGCAAATCCCAGAATACTTTGCTGGAAGTAAAGAAGGGATTTAGGTGGATCTGAGTAAATGCCTCACAAGAAGGGCAGAAATCAATATGATAGAGTACACAGTGCAGCCTGGCACTTCAGAATCTAATAGATTTTAACATTGGTGGGTGATTGGATAGAAAGTGGTAATTGTCTGCAAAGATAGGAGAGAATAACCAGCAATATTTTATTATGGAACAAGAAAGTTTGATTCAGTTATTTAGTATGTTGCATAAACTCAAGCATTATGCTTTGTATAATAAACCATGGTTAACCAATTGCATAGTACAATATGTGAATTCTCGCAATATCTGCAAGGATTTGAACAGTGTAATAACTATAATTATAACTATAACTATCCAAGGGTGGGATTCAATTTTTTTAACAACCGGTTCTGTGGGCATGGCTTAGTTGGTGGGCGTGGCTTGGTGGTCATGTGACTGGGTGGACATGGCTTGGTGGTCATGTTATTGGCTGGGCGTGGCCAACTCAATATCACTCACATCAAGGCACACATCTCCTTACCTGGCTTCTCATGACTGTGGGGATGCTGCAACAGTCGTAAGTGTGAAAAATGGTCATAAGTCACTTTTTTCAGTGCCATTGTAACTTTGAATGGTCACTCCACACAAGCAAAGTACCAGCAAAGGAGGGAAAAATCACTCCATAGAAGTTCCTGAAACAGGAAGTCTAGTCTTGCCAAGAACGTAATAAGGGTTAACGGAGAGGCAGTTTCTGTAAGCAACACCAGAATGTTTCCTTCCTGCCTTCCTTACAGGATTAGGCCAGTAATTTCTTCTAACAACCGGTTCTCCGAACTGCTTAGAATGTTAACAACTGGTTCTAGCGAATAGGTGCTAGACTGGTAGAACTGGTAGACTGGTAGAACTGGTAGAATCCCACTCTGGATGAGAGCAATTGTGCTCTAATTGGAACAACCAAAGGGAGAGTTACCCTTTTTTTTTGACAGTGGAATGAAAACTGGGCATTTCCAATCCTGTGGCCATGTGTAGTTTTCCCAGATTTTCTGGCACAGGTCTCTAATGACTCTGGGTAGGACTGGTCTCAATAATTCTGTAGGGATAGTGTCAACACCTGGAGTCTTGTTATTTGGGAGTTGGTTAATTGTCCATATGATCTCTTCCTCAAGGATGGCTGGTTCTATTTCGGCTTGTCTTTCCTCCCTGTCCTGAGGCTGGGCCCCTTTGCTACCTGCATACAGCTCTTCTGTATATTCTTGCCATCTGTTCTTGATATCTTATTGGTCAGACAGTTCTTTCCCTTATTTGTTTTTAATGATGCCTTTACAAGCAATAAATGGTTCTCTGATCTTTTTGACTTGCCTAAAAGCATACTTGTTGTGACCCTTATATGGTCTGTTTACATCGCTCATCCCAGTAAATTTCATTGTTCTTCCTTACTGCCCTCTGGAAAGCTGCATTCAGTCTTCTTGCTTTTTCCCATTTGCCTACTGCTTTGGCTGCTTTTCTTTGCTCAGCTATTTTGATGGTTTCATCTGAGAGCCACCTGCACTTTTTCTCTGGCTTCTTGCATGATATGTATTCTTCTGCAGTTCCAATAATGGTTGATGGCATTTCCTGCCACAGTTCATCAGGCGTCTTCTCAGCAGTGTCCAATAGTTCAAGCCCTTTTTTTCACCTCAAAGTTCTTGAGTGAGGTCTTGAATTTTCCTCAAGTAAACCCTCACATGGACATCCATCTTGCCCTCATACCAAAAAAACCAGGGCTAATTACCAAAGAACGACTAAAGATGCCTTAGTACCTTAAACATGTTTTGTCTCACATGATACAGTTCTCAGTAGTTCTCTTATGCCCATGTTACAAAAGCAGGCATTCTCTGACATGGTCTTACTATGCGTTTAATTAGAGCCTACATTGGAAGTCAAATGGACTGCACTTACTGCCAGACAAAATGTTATAGAAAAGATAGTCAAGAAGCATTTTATTGTATGTTATTTATTTAAAACTGTACATCAGTAAAGAGTTCATCAGGGAATAATTCATCAACTGGTTTCCAGTAAGAGCTCTTCTTGGCAGATATATGGACAACACTGGAGCCTGAACAATCTCCAAAGACAATCAATTGCACCATATCTACTATGTTTACTCTAGCTTGTTAAAAAGTATGTTTAGGGATGGGAAGTGTTCTGTGATCTCTACATGTGTGTGTAACTGCAAAGGCAGGTATGGTGGAAAAGGGGAGGTATTGGGCTCCAAAGAGATATCATCATCACCATCATCATCATCATCATCATTAGAATTGGAAGGGACCTTGGAGGTCTTTTAGTCCAATAGCCTGCTCAAGCAGGAGACCCTATTCCATTTCAGACAAGTGGCTGCCCAGTCTACTCCTACAACTAAAATCCTATGGTATCTCTGGACACCTGCATAACTGGATAGAAGCATTCCTATCAAACAGACAACAAATGGTCAAAATTGGGAGCGTCCTATCAAATTCTGTACCTGTCAACAGTGGTGTCCCCCAAGGCAGTGTTCTAGGACCAACTCTCTTCACACTCTACATAAATGACCTCTGTGATCATATTAAGAGCAACTGCGTTCTCTTCGCTGATGATGTAAAGCTATTCAACACCACAGACAATACTGCAACACTTCAAAAAGACCTTGACTATGTATCAGAATGGTCAAACAAATGGCAACTTCAAATCTCAACAAGCAAATACTCTGTCTTACATATTGGCAAAAATTCAGAAAGTAAAATACAAGCTGAATAGTCAAGACCTTGTTGATGATCTAAACTCTGTCAAGGACTTTGGAGTACTCATCTCAAATGATCTAAGTGCTAGAGCCCACTGTAACTACATAGCCAAAAAAGCATTAAGAGTTGTTAACCTAATCCTACATAGTTTTTTCTCTGGTAATATCACACTACTAACTACAGCATACAAAACATTTGCTAGACCAATAGTCGAATACAGCTCATCAGTCTGGAACCCACATTACGTATCTGATATTAATACTGTTGAGAAAGTCCAGAAATACAGTATTTCACAAGAAGAGTTCTCCACTCCTCTACTCGTTGCAGAATATCTTATGCCACCAGACTTGAAATTCTAGACCTAGAAAGCCTAGAACTACGCCGTCTTCAGTCCGATCTAAGTATAGTATATAAAATCATACATTGTAATGTCCTACCTGTCAATGAATACTTCAGCTTCAACCATAACAATACAAGAGCACACAATAGATACAAACTCAAGGTAGACCGCACCAAACTTGATTGCAGGAAATACGACTTCAGCAACAGAGTAGTCAGTGTCTGGAATACTCTACCTGACTCTGTGGTTTCTTCCCCAAACCCCAAAAACTTTAACCTTAGACTGTCTACTACTTGACCTCACCCCTTTCCTAAGAGGTCTGTAGGGGGCGTGCATAAGCGCACCAATGTGCCTACCGGCCCTGTCCTATTGTTTCTTTTATTTTTCTTATATGTACCCATTTCATGTATTCATAACTATGTTTATTCTTGAGTTTCCGGTTTGTCGGCTTCGCGAGCGGTAGGGATTCGCGAAGCTGCGCGATCCCTGCCACGCTAGCCGTTTTGGGGCTCCGACCCGGATGGGTGCGAAGCAAGGCTGCCCTGCAGGGGTAGCTGAAGGTAAGGGGGATCCGGAGGAAGGGTCTGGGGGTGTTGCAGACCCCCTCCCTGGCCGGCAGAACCCCCTTTTACCAGGACGGTGCAGCGGCGGTCCGTAATTGCCGCCACAAAGAAGTCGGCAGCCGGGCAAGTATGTGCAGGAGGAAGAAGAGAAAGTTATTGAAAGTGAAAGTTCTTCTTGGTCGACCCAGGGCTTTGAGATTTATCTAATTTAATTCCTGGAAAAGATGGTTTTTTGATGATTTTTTCCACAAGAGAAAAAAAGCGGCTATTTTGAGGTGCTGAAAGGAAAGTTTACTCTCCCTCCCGACGGAATTAAGCCGGAAGGGAGAGGATAAAGAAAATATATAAATTTGGATCTTGTTGGAGGAGATGCCTTGAAGATTTGAGGACAGAAATATAATTTTAATAAGGCTTTAAAATATAGATTTGGACTCTTTTTGTATTTGTTTGATACCACCCCTGGAAGAGGAAGGGGGAATTTTGGCTTGCTTGGATTTATTGAGGATTGTGGATTTTGGGATTGTTTTACCTTTCTCTCGGAATATTTGGTTGGTGTAAGAAGAAAGAGGAATAAAGAAAAGAAAAGATTTATTTATAATGGCTTTCCCTTTTGAAGACCTGAGGGATGAATATGAGCAAACAAAAGCAGCCTGCAAAGATGGTATGGAAAAAGCTTTTCTATTTCTAGAAATGGCGCTGGTCAATTACCAACAGACAATGGAACAGATGGAAACAGAAGTTGTTCCAGAAGAACAACAACAAGGAAAAGACGAAGACGCCATCTTTATTGAATCCCAAAGCTTATCTAAGGAAGAAGGAAGGAAGAGAGCAAGGAAAATGAAGGACTTAAGATCTAAAAAAACATTTGAGAAAGAGAAAAATATGATGCAAAGTAAATATAATGATAGCAAACAAGAGAAAAAGGGAACACAACAGAGAAGGGATCCCAGCAAGGCAGAGGTTAGAAGAAGAAGGGGGGGTAGGAAGATTTGGTGGGGGAAGAAAGAAAGGGGAAAGGCGGAGAAAAGCCTTAAAGTTTTAAAATTGGATGGGAGAAGAGGAATTTTTTTTAGGGACAAAGGATGAAATATAAACTTCTGTAAGAAAGATTCTACTAGGTACATAAGATGGTATTGTAACATTTATATTTGAAATAGTAAATTAGAATGGTTTAAGATTTAATAAGAAATTAAAATGTTGAAGTTTTTAATAATGATTGATTTTTAAAATGTAATAAAATATTGAAGGAAAGGAGGATACAATGTATTTAAACATTTTTGGTGGATAGAATGTACCAAGCAGAACCGAATTGGGTATTTGTTATGTTGAATGTTAATTTTACTAACTTAGGGGGAGGATAGAAAGGCATCATACTCTGATTAGTGATTTCAGGAGAAATTCTTTTTATTATAAGAAGAGATAGAGCAGGGGTGTCAAACACAAGGCCCGCGGGCCAAATCCGGCCCGCCAGACCTCGTCTGATGGCCCGCGGTGCCGCCGCCAGCCTTGCAGCCTCCCCCTTTTTTTTTTCAATGAATTTACTCCGTGCCTGCACGGAGTAAATTCATTTTAAAAATGGCTCAAGTTAAAAAAAAAAAAAATTACTTACCTTCCGGGACCTGGCCCGACTTCTTCCTGCCCCGCACTGCTCCCTGGGTGTCGGACGTGACGTCATCACGTGACGTCCGCCCGACATCTCCAGGGATCAGAGGAGCGCGCGGACGCCGCGGAGAGGAGCAAGAAGAAAGAAGTAAAAGAAAGAAAGAAGTAAAAGGTAAGTAAAGTAAATGGAGGGGGCAGATGGCTGGGCACTATAAAAGGGGGCAGTCCAACAGCAGCCTGAAAGCGAAGTTCCAGGATGCAACAGTCGACGACTTTTACCGTCTCCTCCCCCCTGCTTTGATGCCACAGCTCCGACTTCAAGCTGCACGTGTTCTGTCCATGTTTGGGAGCACTTATCTATGTGAACAGATGTTTTCAGTCATGAATCTGAACAAGACCAAGCTCAGATCACGCATCACTGATGATAACCTCCATGCTGTTTTGCGGATTGCTACAGCACAAGACCTAACGCCAAACATCGATGGACTGACCTTAGGAAAACGATGTCAGCCATCTAGTCAGTAAAGTTAAAAAAAAGGTAATGCCTTGTGTTTTCCATATGTTTAATAAACAGTGTTTGGCAATATTTGTATGTTTAAAAAAAAATTAATGTTTGTTACCAAAAAACATTTTTCAATACATTGTACAATAATTGTACATTTGAATATCTACTTGTCATTATTCTGACTATGTTTCTGCTTTCAGAGCTAGTTATTACTTACATTATTACAAAAAACAGTAATAATTGAATGCAGTGACATTAATTTATGATAATAAAGAGTGGACACATAGACCTACAGATACAACCGGCCCTTTGATGGGGACCAAACTGCTGATGCGGCCCCCGATGAATTTGAGTTTGACACCCCTGAGATAGAGGGATAATGAATGGGCAAAAGATATAAATTTAATTATTTAATTAAGATGGATTAAATAAGATTAAATTGTGAAGAGTGATATGCGCTGCCCATGCAAAGAGAGGTAACTGGGGCCAAGGTACTTTACTAAAAGATTTTTTTATGTTTGTTTGTGTTTGTGTTTTATGAGAATATTGGGGAAATTTTTGTAGAAAGACAGGAAAAGATTTAAATATGTAATGATTTGTTTGTTGTTGAAATTTTTAATAAAACTTGTTTTTTTAAAAAAAAAACTATGTTTATTCTTATACCTATTATCTTGTAAGCGATTGACAAATCAATTAAAATTAAAAAATAAAAATAAAACAATAAAACAATAAAAGCCTCCAGTGGTGGAGCACCCACAACTTCTGAAGGTGAGCCATTCCACTGGTGAATTGTTCTCACTGTCAGGAAATTTCTCCTTATTCTAGGTTGCTTTTCTCCTGGATTAGTTTCCATCCATTGCTTCTTGCCTTGCCTTCTGGCACTTTGGAAAATAATTTGACCCCATCTTCTTTGTTGCAGCTGCTGGAACACTGCTATCATGTCATCCCTGGTCCTTCTTTTCACTAGACTAGACATACCCAATTCTTGCAACATTCTTGATGTGGTTTAGCTACCCTTCTTCATATGTTTTAACCTCCAGCCCCCTAATCATTTTAATTGCTTTTCTCTGCACTCTTTCCAGAGTCTCTACATCTTTTTTATATTGTGGTGACCAAAACTGGATGCAGTGTGGTCTTACCAAGGCCTTACAATATGCTACTAACACATGGCGTGATTTTTATTTTATCCCTCTGTTAATGCAGCCTAGGATTGTGTGGCTTTTTTGGCTGGTGCAGCACACTGTTGGCTCTATTTCAATGATCGTTTACTAGGAGTCCGAGATCCCTCTTGCAGTTACTCCTGTTCAGCCAAGTTTCACCTAATCTGTGCCTGTACATTTGGTTGTTCTTACCTAAGTGGAAAACCTTACTTTTCTCTACATTGAATCTCATTTTGTTAGATAGGGCTGTGTTCAAGTCTGTCAAGATCCATCTGGATATTGAGCCTATCTTCTGTCTATGTATTTCCTGAAGGATAAAACTTCATGGTAGCCAAACGATGCCATCTGAAAGTAGTGTTTCCATCCCTTCTACAGCCTAGGAAAAAGAGTAAATGCTCTCTCTAAATGCAGGGGCTCTGGTCCAGATTGGGCTCTCCTGAAAGGGGGGGGGTCTCCTGGATAATCTATTTAAAAGCCTAAATAAAACCCCTAAACATGAACAGAATTGCACCCACAGGGAAAAAGGTGAATGGAGGAAAAGACTGGACTTGGAAATCAAACATTTATTTGGATGCAAAGTATATTCTGGTGAGTTCTGCTGAGTAGTCCAGGCTATCTGCAGTTCCCTTTGTTATGCTGAAGAGAAAGGGACAAAGCACAGTACAGCATCTCAGCATTGAGATAATTTTCTCTATATGGACTGTGCTGGTTTTCTTCAATATCGACGGTATAGTTCTTTTTACAATTAATAGTGCATACTTACAGAGACATAATTGCAAAATAAATCAGGTACAGCACAAGTGTCTCTCCAATGAATCAGGTGCAGATCTGTTTGCAAGTATGTATTTTCTTTTCTCTCTATATATATTTGTACGGATTTTAAAAGATTAAGTCTTTATTAATTAAATAATCATGAATGAATTGAATATGAACACACAATCACACACACACCACATACTCTCTTTTGAAAACCGAGTAATTGATCCACCCTGGCAGCTGAGTGGATGCAGTGTGGTGCAAACAGAGTGTTGTGATTTGCCAGGAGCAGGTGTGGACAGCTAAGGTCTCAGAGAGTGAGGACTCAGATGAGGGGTCTGCTTGTGATGCAGGGATGGGGCCAGAACCATCAGGGAGTGGAATGCTGCCTTCAGAGATTGTGGAGGCTGGCAGCAGTGATGAAGAGGTCCCCGAGGAGCCTATGGCCACTGCAGCTGCAGCAGCATGGGCAACTCGGGAGTAAGGCTGCAAGGTAATGGCCCCTCTCTTAAGAGGTAAAAGCCAGATGAGAAACCAGAGTTCTTTGCAGGAAGCAAAGAAGTTTTTGCACTCAAGCCTTGTGGACGTTTGGAATATCTTGGTTGATGTTTGGAGATTCTTTGTGTTTGAAATATTTCTTTTCTTTTTTAAAAAAAACAATTTTATTGATTTTTTACAAACAAACAAGACATAAAAACATCAACTCTCTTCCATATATACATACAGTGTGTCAGTTGGTTCATCAGTTTTGTGCATTCATTTCGTAGTCTCAAATTACAGTTATATTACATAATAACTCATATTGTCAATCCAAACTTATATATCCTAATATCGCTATTAGAAAATCATTTGACTAGTTTTAATCATTCATTTTTTATGAGATAACAATACCTTAAATAGTTTATTCTATAAGAAATCATATAATCATACCAGATCTATCCTAAAAAACACTTTATAGATATGATATCAAATAACAAAAGAGGAAAAAAAAACAAAGATATTCCTTGCTGTCTAACATTCTAAATATTCTATTATTGTATTTTATCATCCAACCATTGATAGAAAAGATCCCAAATTTCATAAAATTGTTTATCCTCTTGCTCTCTAATTTCAAATGTCAATCTACTCATCTCAGCAAATTCCAATATTTTCTTAATAATTTCTTCCTGCGATGGTATTTTCTCATTCTTCCAATTTTTCGCAAATACAATCCTAGCCGCTGTTAATACATTTACAATCAGATATTTCAAGTCTTTACTGTATGTATCTGGTAAGATTCCCAATAAAAAGAACTCCGGTTTCAAATCTATACGTTTCTTTGTCATTTTTTCCAACCACATGCGAATTTTAGTCCA